CTATTTACGACTACTTGTACAATGGCTCTAATGTCCAGGAACCCAATTTACATGATCCCAACGGCTCTAATGTGCAGGAACCCAATTTACATGATCCCAACGATTCTAATGTGCAGGAACCCAATTTACATGATCCCGAAGAAGAGGAAGAGGAAGAGGACGAGGACATATTTACGTACTACTAGGCTCTAATGTGTATTGGTATTTGTTTTGTTCTCTCTGTCAGGTACTACTAGGGATAACCAAGTATAACTGTGTATTGGTATTTGTTTTGTTCTCTCTGTCAGGTACTACTAGGGATAACCAAGTATAACTGTGTATTGGTATTTGTTTTGTTCTCTCTGTCAGGTACTACTAGGGATAACCAAGTATAACTGTGTAATGATATTGTTGTGTTCTCTATGTCAGGTCTACTAGGGATAACACGTATGACTGTGTAATGTGTTTACTTATTAATACTTAGTACTGTCCAAATTAAAAAATATATGAAAACCAAACTTTTTACTAAAATCATAGCTTACACATATGTAAATGTAAGGTAACGTGTGAGTTGAAGCACTAATTGCTAAGTCAAACATAGAAAACTTTTGTTTTCATAGATTTTTATATAGGAAACAATATTAACTAAGTTGAAATGGATTAATCAGATCAGTACTACTAGAAACATTATACTTGAAGCTAGGTATGACTAATAAAATGTAAAAAACATCAAAATATGACTATGTGTTAAAGGGCACTACTAAAATACTAAGTACTACTATGGGTAAACTTTTAATAGTTGTTTATTCAAAAGACGGCTCACATGTTAAATATGTTGTATTTTCCTTAATTTTTTAATGATGCAAACACATGTTTTACACTTTTTGGGATAGAGGTTCGTTGACCAGTTCTTTAAGAGGTTCATTGACCAGTTATACCTAGTAGTACCAGTTATACCAGTAGTGAATTATACGGTCGAGTGATACCTTATAATTATAAAAAAACCATTTTCCACAAGCACCTGAAAACACGTTTTCAACATTCCCAAAACAAAAACACGTGTTCAACACTCCTAAAATAATTCAAAAAGCATAAGTTCAACATTCACAATAAAATATACAAAGCTTAAGTTCAACATTCCTAAAATAAATCAAAGCCTGCTTCTGCCTACCTTCTGCCTACCTTCTGCCTACCTTCCAAGCCAAACTTGATCACTTCTTCTTATGTTTCTTTGGAGCCTTGGTAGCTTCTCCAGCGTTTTTCCTCTTTCTCCCAACCTTTGTGCCTCCTCCTGTGTTCTTGTTCGTTCCCTCTCCTTTGGAACCTTTTTTTTTTCCATCAGAAGTATAAGGCTCTTTCTTGTACATAGATGGTTTCTTCTCTCTCTTAGCCTTTCTCTTCTTCTTAGCTCCTTCTGCTTCTTTTTCTTTCTCTTCCTCTTCTCTTTTCTCTTCTTCTTCTTTCTCCTCTTCTTCTTTCTCTTCCTCTTCTTCTCCTTTCTCTTCTTCTTCTTCTTTCTCTTCCTCTTTGTCTCCTTCTTCTTTCTCCTCTTCCTCTTTCTCTTCTTCTCCTTTCTCTTCTTCTTCGTTCTCTTCCTCTTTGTCTCCTTCTTCTTTCTCCTCTTCCTCTTCCTCTTCTTCTTTCTCCTCTTCCTCTTTGTCTCCTTCTTCTTTCTCTTCCTCTTCTTCTTTCTCCTCTTCCTCTTTGTCTTCTTCTCCTTTCTCTTCTTCTTTCTCTTCTTCCTCTTTCTCTTCTTCTTCTTCTTGCTCATCGATGTCCATCGCAGTCCCTGATGGCTCCCCTACATACTCGTTATCATCTCTCTCGAACCCATCCCAAGAGTATCCATGACCTCTAATAGCCTGTACTTTTTCCTTTAAGCGCTGGACCTTCTTCTCTAAATCCAAATGAGCATCATTCACCTTTTCAAACCCTTCCCTCATTCTTTCCATCAGCCTATCTTCAAGCTCTTTCAACATCTGAACCAAAGCAGGATTAACATTTGAACCAGCCTCTGTACTCAATCCAATATCTTCTTCTTCCTCTTCTATTTGTACTCGGGAAGCC